TTAAACTGCAAATCCCCTTGTGCTGCACTGCTTAACAGAGAAACTTCATCTTCTCTTGGACTGGGCACTCCTGACTCTGAAGTTACTTGTCCTTTCCTACTTTGCAAAATATCTTACTTCGCAGCACCAGCTGACTTATGATCAGTAGTCAAAGAAATACTTGGAGCTGACTATTTGAGGAGCAGAGGTGAGGCAAGGACATGGGGAGGTGAATCTCTTTAGCTTAAGCAAATACAATATGGACACCTGCATTAAACTACTCACGCTAGGCAAGAAACAAGTTCTTTTAGGGTGTGACTCATCTGGCCTAAAGTAGGTGATTGATTTAATATAAGATGAATTGTGCTCTGCAAGTGCTTATTTGTCTTTATTGACTACAAATGAAATGCAGGGTGACCAGCCCTGTTTTAAATGCCTACATTGTCAATATCTGCACGTGAACAGAGGTTGTCCTGGTGCTGCTTTCTAGTGGAACTGAGGACATTGACCACATCTGACAGATAGTATCTTGATTGTCAGTATTATAAACCAGCATGTTACTATTACTAACTTCTGTTTCTTATATGAGTGCTAGGAAAAAAAAAAAAAAAAAAAAAAAAAAAAAAAAAAAAAGCAGCTAATGAGGGCTCTGACAACTATGTGAACTCTGCTGATTTTTTTTTTTTATATGAAATTGGGGGGTGGCTTATAAAATGATTTCTTGATGATTACTTCATGTAAACAAGAATCAGCATAACCTGCTGCACTCATTGCTGTAGGAACCCAGACTGAGCAATGAAGAGATAGGAAAATCTGAGCACTGGAAGAGAGAATTTTCATAGAGCATAAGAAAGAGAGATGGAGAAAAAAAGAAAATATATATGGGAGTAAATAACCCAAAACAGTGAGGTATAAGGTAGAACACCATGAAGAAACATGAAAGGTCTGTCTCAACCTAAGCCTTCCTCACCCAAGAAATCCCATTTCCAGGAGCAGAACCCTTGGAACTTGTATAAGGAAAATGGCAGTGTGCTCTATGGGATTCCCCATTTGCTACTGGTCATGACTGTCTTTAATACAGGAATTTTCAATATTTACTGAGATCTGGATGATCTTTTCTTTTTACTTATTTTTAGGTTGTTGCAGATCATTGTATGTCCTATTCCCTTCTTCAACTGCTCTGTTCTTCTGCATTGGTTTATATATCTCTCTGTGCTAACAGATGCTAACACAGAGGTACTGCTAGTTCAGATCTCTCAGACCTTTGGCCCATGCAGTTCCTTGAAGTGAATTTATGTAGACCTCTTCAAGCTGCATGTCACCAGCTGTAGGAATAGGGCAATAATAGAAGAAGATGTCTTTCCTTCTCTGTCCTCTCACTAATTCCTCCGCTCTCTTTTCCCAGCACACGTGATTTTCTTGAGGGACACACACATAAAGGACTCTACTGTGCAATAATGGCACAAGTCACTACTGGCCTGACTCCCACTGTAGCAGAAGAACATGGAGCACAAGAATAGTGTCACTTGGGAATCTGCATTTACATTTGCCCATTTTCACTCCTTTCTCCTTCAGTTCCCTGGGAACATGGGACCCTGCCCCTCGGCTACTGCCCTTTTGACACATGTACCCCTTTGCCTACTATTTGCACATCCTGATGAATTCTTTCCCAATCATATTAATCTACATGTATTGCTTTTACTTATCAGTCTAGTTTAGGATGGTCTTTTCCCATCCTTGGTTACTCTCTTCTTTCTGTGGTGCTGCTGCTCCCTTTATATAGGGAGGAATTTTTAGGGGAGGAAAGCTCTTTTCTGTGCACTTTCTGATTCTCAGAGCACAGCAAAAGACCTGAAGAGACCGATGTCTCTTCTAGCCTTCCATTTGCTTTTAGATTCATTCCTTTTCCTCTGCAAAGGCCAATGAGTTCTTGCCTCTCAACTAAACGTATCTGTAGCAGCTCACTGGCCTTCTAGTCTGTGGACATATATGCCGTACAGAAGAGAAACCAGGATGAGACACTGCATGCTTCTCTCTCACCTTTTCTCTTTCTTGGACCCAAGATTTTCCATGCTGATTAGCTGCCAACTGCATACTTGCATTCCCTAAGCCCCTCAAGGAACTTGGCCTCTTGTTTGCATGAATGGATGACAGCCCGACGCCTCAAGAAAGCCATGGAGGATGAAGAGTAGAACAGCAGAAACCATTCTTGTGGACAAATCTGTGAAAGACTGGCATGAAATAGGGCTGATTCAGCTTTGCAGTACATTGGTCAAGGCCAAATTCTGCCTACTCACATCCATGCAAGTTTGTGGGATACATGAAATTCTGCAGAGTGCTCTGCTTCAGTGAGACACAGGATATAAATATCTTGGTTTAGGACTAGAAAGACAGACAGACAGATAGAGGGTTTGCACTTCGTTTCAGTGCTGCAACATGAACTTCCCCAAGGACCCAGTCTGAGCCTTGAAAAGTTGGCCACTGCACTGAAAGATAAAACAGTAAGAACTAACAAGGCTTGTAATGATTTGACTGAACCCAGATGAGAATTTAAGTGCTATTTTCCTGTGAGCCCATCTGCAGGGGACTGCTGGCACGCAGGATATCCACTTTGGCCCATCAGCACTACAGTTCTGAGGCTGTCTAGCCCACATTCACTTATTGGTTAGCTCCTCTATTTCTAAACCCAAGAAAGTGCCAACTCAACTCTACCTCCAATTCTCAGAAATGTCAGCTAAAGAAGACTCAGAGAATATTAAATTAAAAGTGAAATGGAAAAAGAACAGAGCAAAGAAAGAAGTTTCTTGTTGCAAATAGCTACAATACAAAGAAAGCTTGATTTTTTATGTTTCTGTTGTAAAAACTGCATGTGAAAATGTACACACTTCAAGATTAAAATGGATTACGATGGTATATAAGACTAAAAATTAGGTCGTACTTATGACAGAGTGGCTTATGTTGCCAATTGTCTGCCACTAAGTCCAGAGCAATACTTGCACAGTCATAATGAAAAGCAATGGAAATATGGATATCATGTGAAACTCACCATGCAAGAGTACTGAGTCCACCAGTTCAAGTTTATTCACTTGCAGCCCCATCATTCAGTAAAACTGTATGTCCCAACCAGAGTCTCCCCTGAATTCTTCTTTTCTACAGCTTTACATTGTGATTGCTAATTACCACTACTGCCCTACATAGCATATAGTTAAAACTATCCTGATGCTACACCATAAGCAAGGGTAGATAAAATCATGATTGAACGCTGACAACCACGATAATCCAACAGAAAAGGGGAGATTTTTAATGGCACGACTGCCAGGCAGATGTTTAATTCCCTCTCATTTTAGGAATTGCTATGCAGCGAAACACATTTGTGCACTTGAGAATCTTTGTTGACCCTGTAACTACCACAAGAAGTAAAATTAAGAAGAAAGAGATGGGCATATGTCTTCACACATAAATCTTTACCTTCACTCACTTACGCTGTGTTGATGGTCCAGAAGAGTATATTGGGAATATCAAGATCTAAGGGGAAAATTAATTGCATTTTTTGTTTATCTTCTAGAAATCTCTACTGTTCTGTAGCCAAAAATTATTCTTTTTCTGCCTTTTTGGCACTATTTTTATTAGACTTACAGTATCTTTCAAGCAATTTTAAATAATACCATTTCCAAAGAATGACAATGGCTGTGGCTGTTCATTGTTGCATTTCTAATCATCTCATTTTTCCCTGCATCTACATGATTTAGAATTCTTTGTGGTGCTCTATAAATGGGTCTCCATTAAATAAGCCATAAAAATCTTTTAACCTAAGGTCAATATTTGGCTTACAGTGACTATATTTAAATATGATTAGTGGAACTCTGCATTCTGATTAAGCAATTCCATATAAAGTAAACTCACTATAATTTAATTTCTTTGAACTCTAGGCAGAGTATGAGATTCACATTTCTTTAGTAAAACTGTGGGGGTGGGAATACGATTTGATTACAAGAGTGAATATAAGATCATATGACTGAAAAATTAATAGCTTCCCTGATTCCTATTTAATCTGTTAAAATAACTTTGCAAAAGGCTCTAAGCCAGAAATATTTGACTACTATACAGCAAATCAGCCAAACAGCTTAGTTCCCCATGGAAAATCCTCAATTGACATTCAGCATGATAACAGAATACTTAGGTTTTCATCCAAAACCTTTATGCCACATTTTCTTACTCATTCTTACACGTTTTGAACAGCTGAGAATTTATTGGGCTTTTGCCTGTTGAAAAAGATCTTGTGGATATTTCAATGGAGTGTTTATTGTTAATGGAGTTCAGACTCCAGGGACAAGTAATGTTCTCTATATTAGATAAATAGACAATGGGAAATGGCCAATGTCACAACCAAGTCCCATCAAATAGATCACAACATGTCATTCATATTTGGTGAGGAAAATATTGTCTAAGAAGGTCGTGAGTAGAAAAAAAAAAAAAAAGTAACTTCATTACATCTAGTGAAAAATAAAAAGAACATTATGTGCGAGATCCATTGAAAACTTGGCTAAAACTTCGCTTTGATTTGTGGGTGGAGAACATCTGAACTATTTGGTATTTGCTGGTGGGAGACAGAGACGGAGTTCCACTGTTCCACTGAGATACCAAACAAACTGTTCCAGTTTAATCCCGAAGATGACTCCTGTCTACCAGAGTTGAAGGGCAGAATTCAAATTCAGAGCCAATAGCCTGAAGTTTACTTGCTTCAAGTCCCACACATCTTTCTCTTCTCCTTCACTTATTATTCCCGCTTAGGTAAGAATGACAATGCACCTTACTGCAGAAGACTGAGTTGGGTCTTCAATGATTTCATCTGTTAGAATCTCATGCCTCAAAAGTCATGGGCAAGTGCAGTACTCTGGATTGCTTTAGGTCAGAGGTAAACATACTGAAGGACTGTGGAGAAGCCTGCATTGCCATTACAAAAAAAGCTATGCTTCTTTGAAAAAAAAAAAAATCTGGTATCATCAAACACACCTTCTTACCTTTAAATGCACTTAAAGAAATTGCCAGAAATTCCAAGGTGTTTCTCTGGAATTTTCATGCATTTAAGACATGATAGTAACAGTGTATTGGCCATAGCAGATAGTCCAGAGTTATGGTAGGATCTCCCCAGTTCTGAACAAGACAGAAGCTTCAGAAACAAACAGAAAACCTTCAGTCATCATTCATCTCAGTACTGTGATTCCTTAATCTTCAACTGACATAAACTTCAGCATTCAGCAAATAATAACATCAGTTATTAGTTATTAGGCTGAGGTAGTCCTTGTGTACCCAGCCATTTATTCAGTGCAAGGAAAAATGGCAGCATGAGCAAGTATTGCTAGAAAATTTACGTGTATAAAAGATATACATCACAGTTAAGTCCCTGGTAAAGTCATGATACTAGTCTCACTGTCAGTGAGGGCTACATCCACAATAGCAATGCCAGGGATTCGATAACAAACCCTCCAGATTCATTTCCTGTAAGTCAAGCAGACAAACCTTTAGTTGATATTCATTTGTCTCAGATGAAGTAAAGGATTGTGGTTATTACTCCATCTCACTCTGTGCTGCCTTCACGTAAGCCACAAATGGCAGAGCCTGGGACACAGGTTATAGACACGGGTTTACCTGTTTTAACTTGATTAAAAAGACGATCCAAGAAACCTGCAGAAATGTACACAACCACCCAAACAGTGGCGGAGTGCTCAAGAATGGTAACTTTGCCTCAGGAATTGAACTGAACTTCCCTTTCAAACACCTGCTTTTCAAATGCAGGGAGTTCTCCCTTTCATGGCCCTGCCACAAGGATAGGGTTCAAGATCCATCTCCCCACCAGAGATAGCCACAGCTTGAGGATTGCCTTGGCCTTGGGAAAGTATCGCTCCCCAAAAAGCGGTATTTGTTCATGACTTGGAAGAGCATAGAGAATAGCAGATACAACATGCTCCTTTCCCTAACACACCTGCATTTCTGGCAATCAGTGATTTACTGTTTGGGCTGGAGGCTGCAGCCAGTGTCAATTAACTACAAAGAAAAACTGTCCTATATGAATTTATTTAATCTGTCTTCTAACCGATTTAAACCTTTGGCCTCCACAGTATGTTTTGCTGAAGACTTTCACAACTTAATTATACATTGCATTAAAAAGTGCTTCCTCTGGTCTGTTTTAAAACCTCTACTTGATACTTTTATTAACTTGTTTTTACTGCTTTTATTACAAGGAACAATGAGTAATCCTTCCCTGTTCCTCATTCTTCATGGTTTTATGGATCTATATTACTATCCACCTTTTTCTAATCTGTTAGCCTCCTCTCCTACAGAAACCCATCTATATTTCTCATCATCTTTATTGTTCTCTCTTCTGTCATTTTAGAATCGTAGAATCACAGAATATCTTTAGAGTTGAAAAGGACCTTTAAGGGCCATCTGGTCCAACTTTCCTATAATAAACAGGAACAGCCCATCTCCATCAGGTGCTCAGAGCCCTGTCCAGCCTGACTTTGAGTGTCTACAGGGATGGGGCATCCACCACCTCTCTGAGAAACTTGTGCCAGTGTCTCACCACTCTCATTGTAAAAGACTTTTTTCCTTATGTACAACTTAAATCTCCTCTCTCTAAGTTTGAAACCACTTCCTTATTTTAGCCCAATCACCATTATCCACATGGTCCATGGTCCTTTATGCCAGAGATGTAGTGACGGAGCACACACTGTAAGTTCAACTGTTGCCACTTGGTTTCCCTTTGCAGTCCAGGGTAAAAGCCACCTAGCCCTGCTAATTCCTTTCTATTCATTTTACAAGTTGCTTTGTTCAGCTCCTTCTCCTGACATTTCACCTTAATATGATTTCTCAGGATATTCCCTGTAAAGATAACACACTGCGTGGGAACTTCTATATGAAGAAGACAGGAGCACCATAAAGCTCAGTCCCATCAGTGTTGTGAAACACCTCTCCCCATTTCTTCAAATAGTCTTGATACTCAAAGACTTCTTCTTGCCACTGGATCTGTGACATGCAAAGGATTGCTGTCTGTAAAGCCACTCATCCCTCGTGAGAAAACAAAGCCTGTTCTGTCCTTGCATTAGCAGACAGTCTGATGCATGAACTTCTGTAAGCACTGTTCTTTTGTTACTATTTGCAGAAGCTGCAATAAGTCTCTCATGTGTCTTCCAAGCCTTGGCCATGAAGAAATAGTTACCCTACCTGTTGGCCAAACAGCTGCTGTAATTTGATTCCTGCTCTTTTCTTTTTGGTTCCTGTTCTCCTGGAGAATCACTAGTTCTTGCTGAAATTTGTATTGTGCCTGTTTTTGTTAATTCATCAGATGCCAATGAACTGGTTCCTCATTCTGTTTGACCAGCTGTTTCATATAATCTGTTGTTACAACTGGATTTAAAAATCTCCCAGGAGGAGCGTAATAACTCAAATGTGTCAGATCTGCAGTAATTCATGAAAGATGCTTAGTATGTGGAAATCTACATTTCTTAAATGCAAGGATCAAGATATCAGCCCTATTGTCGAAACCAAGATGGGACTTTCAATGTAACCCACTTGTCACTTACAATTCCCCTCTTCCCCTTCATATTACTGTGTAGCCTAAATTTTTCTGTGTTTGCCCTGTCCACAGCTCAATATATTTCCTTTTAAGAGAGAAAAAAAATCTGTTCAGATAGAACCAAATGATCAGAACAATTAAGAAAATCACTCAGATCCTCTTTGTACGTGTGTAACTCAAGAAATATTTTGTTTAAAGTCACACATTTGGCATGTGTCTAAGAGGAATGTGCAGTTTGCATTGATATAAGAAATATGGTAATGAATGTTTGAACATTTTCTACTTTGTAATTTGTAATTGTCTTCACTGGTTTAGCAATAAGTATATAAGTATAATGTTGAGAAGGTTTTTAGTTATAGTAATTTGACTGCAACACAGCCCCTTTTGTTATCTTACTTGACTTAGGAATTACATAAGATGTCATTTGGAAACCACTGTCTAGCATTATACAAAGTCAAATGCATATACCGTGAAGAGAGCCTCAACATTTTCTTTATAAAAGCTATGGCTCAGTGCCTTTTCCCTGCGGCACATTCTCACCTGCTAAACAGCTCCATTTAAAATAGTTCATACTAATAGGCATAAACTACAATGTGCAAAAACAGATTTTCAAGTTCATTCTGGTACTTACGAGAAATATAGTTAAGTGTAATCAGAGAGACAGCAATTGGTTCTTTCATTAAAAAAAAAAAAAAAAAAAAAAAAAAAAAAAAAAAAGAGTAATTCCCTGATAATATAAAGCAGTATTGCATCACTGAATCCTGAGTTCCATCACTTTAGACTTAGGATTCTACTGGTCTCAATATATGTGGTACCACTCAGCATTCACAGCTTGGTAGCATGATGGCAGTGGAGATCCCTGTATTGCAAAGTTGGACTCACAGGCTGGCTTAAAGCACACTTCTCATCCATGCTAAATGGACATAGAATCATAGAATCACAGAACCATTTGAGTTGGAAAGGACTCCTAAAGGCCATCTGGTCCAACTCCCCTGCAATGAGCAGGGACACCTACAGCTCTATCAGGTGCTCAGAGCCCCATCCATCCTGACCTTGAGTATCTCCAGGGATGGAGCATCCACTGCCTCTCTGGTCAACCTGTCTCATGCCCTTCTTGGAGAAACCACACTTGGGCTGTTTGTTTGATACCTGGCCTGTGATATGCTTTGTACTTCTGCATACAGCTAGCTCACTGAAAGAAGAATGTGGGCTCCAGCTCCAGCCACTGACCTTCAAACTCTTCTGCTTTAGGGAGTCAGAAGTCCACCTCTGCTGCCATGTGTATGCAAACAGTGTGGGCAGAGGGCAAGACTAGACTTCAGAACAGACTCCAAGCCACAGAGCAACACAGAGACTGATACTGGCTCTTCAGTCATATGAGGTAGGGGACATGAGCAATGTCCTACGTACTCACTTCCACAAGTAGGATTAGACTGCTACCTTCATGTGCCTTGATCAAAAAAAGGATCAGCTTTGCATAGTGGAGCTTCTGTCCTGCTGCATACCACAGAAGCAGCTTTTTAAGCAAAGTAAAGGGCAATGCCTACTGCTCACCTTCCCACCTACAACAGCATTTCCAATCTGCAGTTTCAACCCATGCAGTAGCCTGAAGTGCAGATGACAGAGATGTAGACATACTGTCCTTTATCTCTGATATCTACTTATGTGTGTCCTAACAAGTCAGATTCTTCAAAGCACCAAGCTGCTGTTCCAGGGTCCTCTACACAACTTACTGCTCAGAGAACAAGGAATATCTTTTAGATACATTGCTAGTAGGTAACCTTGCTGACTTTAGATAAAGTGAGATCCCTGGTTTAGTCTCCTTGTGGGAATGACTGCTGACAAATAAAACATAGCCAACTTGTGGTTAAAGCACAGGATCTTTGCTCTATTCCTGGAATTGCAGCAGATTTCCTGTGTGGCTTCGGACATGTCACGTAAGCCAAAGTATTCAAACCTGTGGTCAAGCCACTGGGTGCTCAGCAGCTTGAAAATCAGGTGTGTGTTTGTTTGTCGAAGTGTAGATTTAGGACCCTTATTTTCAGCAGCCATTTAAAAATAAAACCTTTGGTCTATATGTCTCCAGTTTGACACCTTTATGGCCATGTTATACAGCCAGCCAAACTTCCTATTGAATCAAGGGAAGAGCACTGTGTTCTCTGGCTGTCGGACCAATTATCTGTGTACAAATTTAGGTGTCTGTCTTCAGTTAGAAGGCTGACCATATGGGGATTCATCTCTCTGAGCCAATAACTTCCACCTACGAATGAAGAGGACCCTGGAGCACAATTGGATCGCTTGAGGCCTTTCAGAGGCTCAGTACATTATAGGTGGAAATGTTTTAATCCTTTATCCGAACAGAGAAATGCAAAAATGACTGTTAGTACTAATGTTTATAATGCCTCTCTAATTATACTTGATTTTGAATTGTCATTGAGTATCCCTTTTGTACTTTTAGTGGTGTAAACTGAACACTTGCTGGCCAGAAAGCTGTAGCAGTTGTTCTCACCCCGAAAAGGAAAGAGCATTTTTTTTCCTAACAAAATGAACCCCAAAATTTGCCCGCTAGTTCTTCAGTCCCACTCTTTCCCAGGATGTAAGGCTTCTGTTAAGATCCAATCACCATCAAATATAATCTAAGACCTTTTTAAGCAGAAAAAATGCAAGGTAGAACTCCAAAACCACTAATTATTTTTCATTCCCTGTTTCAAATAACCTGCGAAAACAAACAAATACCTTCTATACTAGGACTTGCTATGGCAATTTTTAGTGCTGGCTGAATTTTAACAGCCAACATATAACAACAATACACCATTATTGGTAGTGGCATGTATGCTACCACGGTAAAAATATTTCCAGTGTGCAGGCACTGTATGGTATTTAAATAGAAATATCCTTTTTATTTTTGCTGACAGACTCCTCGGGCAACGCTGGATGATTGGAGAAGCAGAACTTTTATTAGCATACCCAGGGGCCGGCCAGCTGGATGCTATGTTTGACACTGTTCTCACACGGGAGGGGGTTATCAGGAAGAAGGAATGAAGTACATAAGCTGAGTCCCCATAAAGACCTGCACAGTACAGCCTAACAAAAGATGTGAATATGACGTAATTCATGTTCAGAAACTTCCCCTGCAGGATGGAGGGCTGTCATTTTTTCCAGTATGGGAAGCAAGTACGAAAGCAGGTGAAGTATCTCAAAATACTGGTGGTGAGTGAGATTTCCTAGCAAAGTGGATTAAAAATCCAAGGGAATCTTTAAACCAAATATTGGTTTTTGTAGAACAACAAAACCAAGATAGTGTTTCCACTCAGCCATAAAAGTTACTGCGGTTGTGTAATCATGTTGAGTTGTGGCCTTAGGAGAAGTTATAAAGCAGCTGCAGCAAATTAACTTTTCAAAAGTTATTATGGATTGGATGGAATCTAGAAAATTCCCCCATGTTATTTTTTTAAATAGAATTGTAAAACGAACAACTGTGGATGAGATCTCATCTCAATCTTCTCCCTGTGTGCAAGCACTAACCTGAAAACTTCAAGGGGAAACGAAGCCAGAAGCACCGCACCCTCCAAAACAGACACTCTCCTACCAGAAACAGTCCCCGGCGTTCATCCAGAGGAATCCCACTGAAGAGTCTTTAAATAAAGTATCGGTTTCTGGGGTGATCTCAAGTGGTTGGCTCTTGGCAAAACAACTGGAGATCCTCATACCTGAAAAAGGAGTATGCAACATCAGGGAGAAGCCCACAGGGTGGTTATCATTGCTGGTGTGGGAGCAAATTCTAGATTCACAGGATGCTCTAAATAGGAATTCACTGGTTCTTAGTCATAAGGCAGTGCTCAGGCTCCTGGCTTCCCAGTAAGACCTGATCTTAGCCAGATCAACACCCTCTGACCTCACATGGGAAGAAGTTACTGTCACTCAGTTAATAGGTGGCATCTTGACTCTCTAGGAGAAGGCAGCTGCCAGCCTTAATGAAAGTGTAATTTGGGAAAGAACAGCACTACCTGGCAGAGCACCTTGGGGTATAAGTTGAACACAGAAGAGAGCAGGAAACGAAAACAGTACAGTGTAAGAACACGCAAAGTAAAAGAAAGAAGACATTGGCATCATGGTGACTGCAGTCCCAAGTATTTGAATAAGAAAATTTGTCATCTGGGAGGTGAACAGTCTTGAAAACTCCTGGAACAAGTCATGAGAAGACCTCACAGTAAGTCAGAAATACATGGGGTTAAAAGAGGCAGGCATAAGGGATTAAAGCAGCATGTCTTACCATCTGATCTGAAGTCCATACTGCAACTGTTCTAAGAGAAATGTTTTTCATTTTGCCACATAAAGCTCTTGAATTAGATCTTAAAGAAGTGAAGATTCTTTTGGACAAAATATCCAGCATGCAGCTGGATAGGTATGTAATATGATGGGTGAAGAGTTGGCTGATAAATTAATCTCAAAGGGTTGTAGTAAATAGCGTTACATCAGGCTGGCATACAGTCACTGGTGGGGCTCTGCAGGATTCCACTTTAGGGCTAGTTATCTTCAGTATCTTCATAAATGACCTGAATGCAGGACTTGAATGTATACTAAGTAAGTTTGCAGATTATATTAATGAAGAGGAGCTGCTGGCTCCCTCTCCAGGGGCAGAGGTTTGGCAGAAAGACCATGACAAATAGGAGGTTTGAGCACTCATCAACTGCATGAAGTTTAACAAGAGCAAATGCTAGATTCTGTACCTTGGATGGCTCAGTTCTGGATATCTGTACAGACTGAGGGATGAGAGGCTGGAGAACAGCCTTACAGAAAGGGACATGGAGGTTCTGACTGAGTGTGAATCAGCAGTGTGCCCTATTATCTTGCCCTGCCAATAGCCTGAAATGCACATACCCATCATTACATTTATTGTGTATAATAAAATGTAAAACACTCAACTGGATCTAGGACCTCGAGTTCCACGTTCTTGAGCTGCACAAGCAGACAATCTGAACACTTGAAGTCAAGATTGGGTCTAAACACAATGGAAAGTGATCCAGTGTATGTATCCTCTAAGTATCTGAAAACAATGACTGCAGTACCTTTAGCAATGGTATATACAGCATTTCCACATCTGCTCGAAGCCAACTAATGTACCAGATCTGTAGGACCTGACTTGTTATGACAGTAATATGAACCGCGTACAATGTTTCAGACTTTCAGAGTGTTCTATCAGCATAGATTAATGACTTATTTCCAACACTTACATGAAACAGGTACATATTTACACAAATAGGGAAATCATGATCCCATTAACAATATATTTATAGAATGACCTAGTTGCATTCAGGCATGTTAGACTGCATTCTTGACTGTGGACAGTTTCTGGATGTGAAAAAATGTGTAAGTCACTTGACTAATGACTTAGTGTTGTGGTGTTGCTTCAAATATTTCCAAGTAAAGGAGTTCAAGTAAAGGAGTTCACAGTGCCCTCCTTCTTTGCACCTGTTTCCTATGTCTTGCCTGTTTAACTTCTCACTTGTCTGGGGCAGTGGATATCACTTACTTTCACTATGGTTGTATACCGCCTAAGGGCAAAAGCCATATAAGAGAGTCTCTCTATTAGTGCTGGTCATTCTCTGGTCTAAAGGCCAGTAACAACGTGTGAAGTGCTTACAGGAGATTTGAGAAAAGTGACTGGGAAGCACAGCTGACAGTACATTTATGCTATTTTTTATCTACATTAAAAAAATTGTCGGGATCCATTGATCAGAAAACATCAGAAAACTTTGAAAGACTCTGAAACTTTTGGTTGCACACGTGTCCTATCACTGCTGTCCCAGAAAAGGTGACAAACTAATTCATCTGCAGGATCCATTTTGTACTGTTTGCTCTTGGTTTGTCTTGCAAGCAGAGTTTTCAAAAAGTCTCCATGATGCTAGAAGTGTTCTCTAATGAAATGTCGGTAGGAGTTCCACCACTGACTTCACTGGGAACAGCCTTAGGTCAACGCTAGGCTCTTTCTGGAAAAATAAATAAATAAATAAATAAATAACCCAGAAAAACCAACAAAAAGCCCTCAGTCTTTGTTTTCTTTAGAAGGACATCCTGTGACTTCATTACAGAGTTCTGCCAGTCCAAGGGAGGCAGAAAAAGAGAGAGACAAAATCTCTTCTAAATATCAAATTATCAATAGAAAGCAGCCAGCGACTTGCCATTTTTACCAGTTTATAATCAGCAGGGAACTGTCACAGATGTCCTACATTCTCCAAACAATGTTTCAGTTTCTCTTTCCCTTTTGAATCTTTTCTGAGAATTCCCCTCACCACCCATCTTCCCAGTCCTCTGCTAGGTTTCACTGGGTTCTTCACTTCTTTCTTAAACCGTACCCCATAAAGCATATCCCCTTTTGTACATCTAGGTCTTCTTTCAGCTTTCTCGCTTTCCTTCATACCCTCCTAACACTCACAGTATTAATTCAGGTCACTTCTGTTTTTTTCATCTCAGTAGAAGCGTGTAATTGTGTTTGAGTATCTGTACTATCCTCATCTGTATGAATAATGTTTTTCATTTCTACAGTAGTCCAACAAGGATGAAATCATTTCCATCTAATGCCTATTGGTGTTAAACCACAAAACCAATAAGAAGCCTTTCCCAAAAGGAACGCCAGTTCCAAGAAAATAATTTTTTATTACTAGAACCTGGATTCCCCGTACTGCTTATCTTGTACTTGTTCTAGGCCTCTACCAAACTTATTCAGAATTAGTGGAAGTTTATGCATCACCATCAAAGGAGTTAGGATTGCATTATAGCTTGTTACAAGATCATTGTATTTTCTCCTACATGCTCAATCTTGTTCCCACTAACTCCTGCATACTTCTGCTGGGTGTTGTATCCTTACAAGGGGTGTTGCACAGTAACAAGTGGAATTTTAGCCATCAAGTATACCTTCTTTATAGACCATATATTGTTTTTGGAAAGTGTTCAGTTCCTTCTATTGTTTTCCTGTCAATAAATGTTCACTGATGAATATGTTCTCCATGCTGATGACAGGTTTTACCTTTGGAGTAGACAAACAGAAAGGTGGTAAGACCATGCAAAGTCAACTGCTGCTATGCCTTACCCTAGCATGAATGCAAGACACTCCAGGGGTGTCATGCTATTTACTTCTGGTATTAAACTGCTCAGTAGCTGAGACTGTATACAAACCAGCTGCTCTTCTAGGTAACATATTAGTTGCTCCTATAGGAACACTCTCCATCCAAATCCTATTCAAGAATGCTACTGGGAACAAAGCTGGCTTGTCTCCATGAAACATTCACAGTATTGGAACACGAAGCTGATGCATTGTGTGCTATATTTTTCCTCTTCAGTTCGGGGAAAAATATCAGAAGAAAAGGAAGATGTGAGCCATCAAGTCTGCATCGCACCCACGTTGCAATCATGAACTGAGAACAAGATCTCACTACCAACGTTTTCAAGACCTGGCAGCAAATAGGAAAAACAACTGAACAACCAATGGCTGTGGACTCAGTCTTCGCAGCCAGGCTTCTTTCTGATATGAGTTTGGGCTAATCCCATAAAATCAGTCCAGCCTATGGGCCACTTACATTCAAGCTTGCTCCCAACCATTTTAGTGATTAAAGCATACGCGTCATCGCTTTCCACATGACCTCAGATTGCCAGATACCTGAATATGACTGAAATGGCCTGAGTGTGTTCAGTGGCAGCAAAAAATGATTCTCTGCTTTTTAGGCACATCATCTGTTTTAACAGAGTTCCTTTTAAAGAATCCCCTTGCACCTCCATAGAAAATCCATATGTTCTTCTAAGGTGACTTTGTTGAATCAAGAATGGTACCTGCATGCAGCCTCAGTTCTCTGTTTGTTACAAATAGCTCCTAAACTACATGCATTATAAAGCAGTTTTAAAGCAAGAAAATAGCTTGAAAGGAGTGAAGGCTTAAAGAGAATGCTATCTAAAGAATCGTTCATGCTAGCTCAACAGCTTTTAACACCCCTGAGACTGCTTTATTGCAAACTCAGAGGAATAGGAGATATGGATAATAGCCACTCATGGCTTTTATCTCACCCTCAATCAAAAAGCTTCTCTATCTGTTTTCTATTTTTCACCAAAAAGCCAGTCTCTTATGTGCTTGCTGAAGGCAACTGCCCACTTCTCACAGAAACCCTAAAAATAAGATGCAGTGGTGATGCAGTCCTACATAAACAATAGCTTGTTTTACAGAAGAAGTGCTCATTATATACTGTTTATAAACCAATCCCGGATGTCTTGTCTTACAAATACATCTGCATACAGTCGCCAGTTCTGGCAAGGACAGCAGAGAGCATGGTAAAGCAGCATAGATCAAGCTCACAACACTCCTACACAGTTCATGAAAATAGAGGGCAAGCAGAAGACTGAGACCCTTGAGTCTTTGCCTTGACCACACTATCCATGGGCTGCAGTATGAGAACACCCTCTGTTAAACATCATATGAGACAGGAAAGGCCATATAAATGATTGCAATGAGATAAGAGCTTCCATCAGACACTGCACCTTCCTACATACCAAAGTCAGTCTCTGGATACATCCCACTAGAAAGCAGGATTTGTAAGTTCAAAAATTCATGACACAGAATAGCAATGTCTGTACATTAAAGATAGCTTACAATAAAAATGGATTTGCTCACTTGTTTTCCTGAACCTCTGCTCTTCTTCCGTCTGGAAATTCTTCCTATTTATAGGATATTTCAGGACATTTTCAGGAACTTCCTATGTTTGTTTGGGTTTCTGGACCTCTGGCAGATGCAGTGAGACCTGAGTAGCAAAGCTGACAGACATCACAAATATTCTCACTATATGAGTATACTTTACCATACAACACAGGTACCTGGCTACCATCTATCCTTATGCAGGACAGTGACCTGACAGGTACAGCTCTGTTTTCTCACCCATATCACAGATACCTGAACAAGTGCTTGATAGTTGGTCTTCACGCACAGTAAAAGTCCTACACATTCTGAAAATTTTGGGTTTGTTGAGCACATGCAGGGCATCCAGGGTTTCCACGGGTTCATTCTGGAAACACAATATCGTTATTGTTAGTACACCCAGAAAACCTCAAGCATTACATAAACACTTGAGGTGTGAGGTATAAGTCACTTCTGAAGGCATTTTAAATAAAAGATTTGAGTTGTATGGCCTCTCAGAGCCTCTGCATCACTGTGCTGGCATTGCCACCTAGCAGCAGCATTCCCAGCCACAACCAAGCAAGCAAGCAAGCAAACAAGCAAACAAACAAATAGTTACCATCTTCTTTGCATTGTAGATGAACTCAAAAGAAAATACAGCTGCAATTAGTTGGCACGCAGCTGTTGAATTAAATCCTTTATTGGCCAGCTAGCGGAGCACTGAATACTGGCTTAAGCAGCAGTAGCTGGATTCAAAGCAAAGGATGCCAAAGAAGGGGTTAAGTCTACACCTGTGTGCATGTTCATAATGTGTATTTTTTCCTGAACACATTATTAGTCTGTTAGCTCATTTATAGACTATAATGAAGTCATTCCGATGCCACCAGTATATTTTGCCAGAAAGCTGGCAATCTTTAATCTGCTTCCTCTACAGCATCTCACAAAGGAAGGGAGAAACCAAAACACCAACTTCAACTAACAATGAATTTATTTGCAGTGCTGGGTCCCAGCACATGCTGAGAAGAAAATTCTTTTGTTTATTCCCCCTCTCCATCTGATGGGCTTACACAACAAGCAAGTCACAGAGGATTCCTCAATGCAGCACAAAGTCTCCTCACCTTTTACACTCTTCTCATGGTCTGCGCCTGCTTTGAGCTTTCCTTTAGATGAAGCAACCAAAGATAAAGTTGAAAATTCTTTGAAAAAAGCCCTAGCTAATGAGTTGCTGTGCACATATGCTTTCCACATAACTGCCCATTTCCACACTCATATCTTCTTTGTGAGACAACAACAATATGCACTTAGCAGGGATTTCTAAGGGAAGTGTGCTGGGAAACAACGGTTGGCATGCCAACAAAGAGACTTTCTGCAGGAGACAGGGGCTGTCAGGGATGTGGATGAGGACAGAGACAAAGAGGAGCCAATCCCAATCCAGTCTCACACTCACCGGTGTATGTGCATTTATGGATAAAAACAGGGGATAAAAAGTGCTTTAGTCAATCACTTCTCTTGTTTCCCTATTAAACAAAATTCACTGATGTTTCAAGCTCACATAGACAACATTCAAAGGTTATGTCCATGGGAGCTAAATGAGCTGAGTTTTCCCAGTTAGCTATGACTGGGATGTAAGTCGGTCAAATGAGAGAAGAACAGCTGAGCCACATCTATCCAGCTTGCCACACACAATGGAACATACATCTTGTAAAAAAGCACCAAAAAGCACCAATAAGCACCTTTGTGAGTCAGTGGCACAGGCTGCCCAGGGAGGTGGTGCAGTCACCGTCCCTGAGGTGTTCAGGAGCCGTGTGGATGTGGCACTGAGGGACGTGGGCAGTGGGCGTGGGGGGGGTGGGCTGGTGGCTGGACTTGGTGATCTTAGAGGTCTTTTCCAGCCTTAGTGATTCTGTATTTCTGTGAAAGCAGAAAGGTGAGTCTGCCAGGAAGCTGAATCTGGGGGCATATGGCTACTATAAACCCTTGCAACAATAACCTCATATTACAGCACTGGCAGTATAGCTGAATGCTGGCAGGGCTACTTGCTTTGGTGGATGATGTGCAGCTGCCAGCATCTTGCTGGCACACCACAGCAATCTGAGCATCTCCTCCCAGCACACTGCTGCATCATAGCCCTGAATTACATTCTTCTGCTCTCCCCCTGTGCGTTGATGTTGGTAAGAGAATCAGTAGTGGGTCTTAAATGCTGATAAAAATGAAGATGCTTGCTCATAGAATCATATCATAGATCCACAGAATGGCCTGGGTTGAAAAGGACCACAATGATCATCTAGTTTCAACTCCCTGCTGTGTGCAGGGTCGCCAACCACCAGACCAGGCTGCCCAGAGCCACATCCAGCCTGGCCTTGAATGCCTCCAGGGATGGGGCATCCACAGCCTCCTTGGGCAACCTGTTCCAGTGCCTCACCACCCCCTGTGTGAAAACTGTGCTCATAATATCTAACCTGAACCTCCCCTGTCTCAGTTTAAAATCATTCCCCCATGTCGTACCACTATCCACCCTCGTGAACAGCTGTTCCCCCTCCTGTTTATATGCTCCCTTCAAGTATTGGAAAGCCACAATGAGGTCTCCCTGGAGCCTTGTCTTCTCCAAGCTAAACAAGCCCAGTTCCCTCAACCTTTCTTCATTGGAGATGTGCTCCAGCCCACTGATCATCTTAGTGGCCCTCCTCTGAACCCGTTCTAAGAGCTCCTTGCCCTTCTGTCCTGGGGGCCCCAGGCTCGGACGCAGTACTGCAGAAGGGGCCTCACAAGAGCTGAGTAGAGGGGACATCATGCTGATGGAGCAGAAAGCATGGAGAGGCCAGGAGGGCACATAAGCAAGTGCAGATTGAAAGAGGAAGAGGCAATGAATCTATTATGGGTTGCTTTTCAACAAAGCAAATTGTTTATTTTCTCTAAATTTATATGTGGCACAAACTGCACCAGTGGGGGGACTGTGATCAGATAAGGAGAAGAAGAATAGACTTGGAGCTTAAAGCATGTGAGCAGAACCAGACAATGACTCTTGTAAGTGGCTCTGACCACCCAGCATACTGGTGGGACCTTTGGGTGGGCTACTTGTAGCTGCAGCCTCCAAGACAAAAGGGCACTCCACTGTGGAGAAAAGGAGAAAGCCAAGGATGGGGGCATTTTCATACTTGATCACAAGGCACACTTGGCACAGCATGCGCGTACTGTTCATATGGCTGAACCCTGGCATGTTGCCGCTCCCTGTGGTCTCATTAGCCTTGAGAAGCCCTGACAGTTTGTGGGCTCCCCCATGCTGAGACCCCAGTGCCTGGGCATACAGGATCCTCACAGAGAGCCTGGGGACAATTAGATGGCTCTGAGAAGTGGCCTTGAAAGCAAATTAAATGAGTCTCAGAGGAACAAAGCTGTGTGCCTGGGCTCAAGAAGAACACAAATAGGACATCTGTTCCCATATCCCAGATGTTTTCTATGCCCTGTGCATTGAACAGAGACCCAGTGCCACTGACCATTATTAGAGCTATCAGTGTGAGACAGAAGTGCCTCAACATCCACTCAGTGCTTGACAGCAAGGCATGCTCAACTTTGCACTTACGTGCAGCATGTAAGCATTAGATCCATCCAGTTCACCCTGAAGTGATAGAGATACACTATACAGCTTTCACGGATTCAGTGCAGAAGGAAAAACAAAACAAAACCAAACCGTGATTTTGACTAATAGCACAAGGAGCTCTTGTGCTGATCTATCCTATGATCACACTGTCAAAATAAAGTAGCACCTTCTGGATGTCAAGACAGCTGGAAGCTCTCAGAAAAATTCAGAACCTTCCAGGTCAGCATTTCCAGATGGGAAAAGAAGAGAGGCATATCCAGATGGAAAAACAAACCACAAATAATAACAAAAATAACAGATGTATGGCAGTCCTTTAGAGTCCTGAAACAGTGACTCCTATTGAGGAGCTTTGGTTTTGGCTGAGGAGCATAGCTGCTTTGAGACACTGCACAGGAGAGAGGTGCAGCACCGTGGTGCATGTACAATGTAGATGGTGGTGGATAGGTGACTTTATTGTCACTAGTGCCAAAGGAAATGATTTAGATGTCTGAAGAGCAGAAACATCAACTTTCCTAGGCTAAATGTTCTGTAGCTATCTCAGCCCACCATTCTGGGTAACCACTTGAATGTTCTTCACTCCTGCACTCCCTGGCAGCACCCACAAAAAGCATGACCTGCCACTAATTTTACCAGCAGTCAGATACTCAGATGCTGAATTGACACAATCAGCAGTCAAACAGGAAGAATCTAGCAGTGAAGGGAAATGAAGACTGAGCTCTTAAGGCCCAGGTTAACACTGTTCATCTTAAGCCAGCTTTCTGTTTTTAATATATATTCATTACATTAATTATTATTTCAATGCTGATTAACAAGAAAAATTGCACCAATTTCTTTCTAATCTTGCTAATCATGAAGGAAGTTATTATTGTAAACGCTAGTGAAAGCACTTCTAATTTTACATATGCTACATATATATCCTATAGTATAAATACATACAAAGTATATTAGTCTCCAATTTTCTATCTATATATGTAGGTCACTCTGGAAGTAATGCCTACTATTTATTCCCATGGAAACTAAAACAGATACAATAACACTATTCAATAGAGCAAATTCTCAGAAACAAAATACTATTTGACAAAACAGGCACCACCATTAGGTGTGCATTTTCACCAGCAATGAGCAAGAGCCTGCATGCCATATACAAATAGGCACATGGCCATCTGGAAAACGGCTTGTCTTTCACATCACTGTCACCACTGCTGAAACACACCACTCATCCCTCACTGTGTTCACATCTACTGTTTGATCTCCATCAATGTTCATTAAGTGTCAGTGAATGTCAGTGGGAGCCATTTTTTCCACATGGAGGAATTCAGTGACATACCTTTGCTTCATATGCACTTCCATGTCAGATGTCATTTTGTCAGATTGCCCTACTGCTGCCGTTTGTTGCATGGCAACAAAATGTAATGGAATATGAGTGGGAAGGTTAAATCTCTACTGCCATATCACCAACATCTGCCTCAGATGAGCCAATGAGATAAAATAGGAAGCATTACTTTTGGAGCAGCCCTCTTATATCCTTTCCATTCAAGATCATGTGAGTTCATAACTTAGTCAAATGTTTCAGCATTATTTGTGACATTTCTAACCCTATTATTTCCTGGCTTCTTGCCATGTGAGGATATATGTATACTAGCAGCAGCATGAACATACAAGAAAAGAGCTATCTCTAAGTCAGAGTACATTGAAAAGATTAAGTTCCAGCCTTCTCATGCTGCAAACTTGGCTAAGAAAGCTCTACATTTAAAAAGAAATTTAAAATGCTGTTTCAAGAATTACTGAAATGTCAAGCAGCATATGAAAGGACTCTTTTCATGTCATCTCTATGCCCTAACTCTTTTTGCATCCCTCAGGATTATCTTTTTTTTTTTTTTTTTTTTTTTAACTTTAAAAAAAGCTCAGTCATCTCAAGTGGATAATTTAAATGCCAAGTCTCTGCCTGGATTCACATTTTCTAGTTCAGTTTTAAATCATTGAAAGCAGATTGAATAGGGTGCCCTGCTTGGCAAGCGCTGCTGTTCACCTACCACCAGAACTTCACTGTGGTCCTCTTCTGAAGGCATTTACCCATTGCCTTGACAGAGACTACTCAGGAGAGGAAGGATGTTACAGGCCTGCTGTGCATCCTTTTGTCTCATCCTGCTACTAAATCTCTCTGCAAAAAAAAAAAAAAAAGCCATCAGCATTGTGGGAGCCAGTACTGTTGAAATTTCTGTGGTCCTTTGGACCCTGTAAGTGCCAATTCATGTTTTGCTAACACAAACAAGCAAATGGCTTTTTCCTCTTAAATAACATAATTATTGCTTTTTATTTATTTATTTTGCACGGGACATTAAACTGTTGGACTTGTGTATCATCCAAGATCAAATTAAAGACAGCATGACAAGTTAGTATGTGCCTTCCCTGAAGAATAAGAAAAAACGTTGTTCCTGTACTTGCCAGCACCACCCACTTGTCTTGCCTGGAGGGGCCAAGTGACATTATTCAAGGTGAGCGCAGCTCACAGGTGCTTTCCAGTCCTGGGAATGCCATGATTTGCCTCACTGCTAACCAAGTCTAACCATGGCCATGCATTTTAAGAGTGGAAAAGTTCTCTAACAGCATTCCTGAGTCTCCTTGTTCCCACGTCTCCGCATGTCTTCCCACACCACACTCCCTTCAAGTTGGATCCACTTTTAGTTTCCTCTGCAATTGGAAAGCAAATATTCCCCTTGGTCTGCTCCCAGCATAACCAATACCAACTCCAAAGTCCTAGTTAACTTCTGCTTTGTTGAGCAGGATATTCTTCCAAACATGCAGCAGTGGACCCAGGGGGCACAGCCATACCCTGCTGAAGAGATAAAAACAAATGCCAGAGTTTCTGCTGTATCAATACAGGTAGTCATGGTTGCAAAGCCATTGCAAGCTTTCTGGGTTTGAACATTTCCACAGTGGATTTGTAGTGCTCACGGAGGCCTCAGCACATTGAAGAGCCCGGCTGGTTGCACACCAAGGACACTAGAAGTCCAGCAGCATCCCAGCTCCATGCTCTCATTGTACAGAGCTCCACAAGACATTTCTCATTACTCTGAGTCCTGCTCCATCCTTCTCCCAAGACTTCTATGACCTGCCCCAGATGCACGTTAAGTGAAAGGGTGGAGGAACACAGCAGTGGTGAAGAACAGAGAAAGTATTAATATCTTCCATGGTCTGCACTTTATTTTCCAAATTAATTTCCAGTCTGACTCTTTAGCTGCAGTTGCTGTTTCCCAGATTGCACCTGGCTTGGGAGTTAAAAACGAACGTATTTCTTGTTGCTGTTGGCAAATAGGTCAGACTTGCTTGCTCCAAAGTTTGTACTTGTTATGTATGTACATGTGAGTTTAATAAAGTTTGTTGTCTGTTTAAGCTCTGTTGTTGTCTGCTCAATTGTAGGGAAGTGGGAAGCTGTAACTGTGCCAGAAATTTTCTTATTGAAATCTAACAAAACAGTAAGCAATCTAAACAAACCAATAATATGGCACCCTGTGTCCCCAAAGCAGCACGCACTAAGAGCTTCATTAAAATTGATCTTGAATTCAGCAAGTAAATCAACACTCACCCAAGACAATACATTAAATTAATCAGGCACAAAATACCCCATACAGATCAGCAGGCCAAATGTTTTTCAAAAATAAGTGCAACTGCAACTTTCGGTTCCTGGTCCATATCAAAGTACCATGATGTTTCACCACAAAGCAGCACATATAATTAGCAATCAATTACTCATTAAAATTGCCCCATGAAGCAAGCATGTGAGCACATACAATGCTTCTAATTTCCTCTGGCTCACTGGGCTCTGGCCTGATCTCATTATAAAAGCACTTCTGGGTGTACTGAAAAGCAAAAGAGTTGGTTCGGGCTCAGGGCTCGCTCCCTTGGTTGGGTGAACTTGTGGTAGGGAAAGCCAGCCACAGCCAGGAGCACCAGCTCCCGAATGCTCTTGGGGTTAAGTCCTCTCTCCTGCCAGCATCCCCCACTGGCAAAACTGCCTCTTCTGTAGGATTGTAGACTTTCTGGGTATAGCTCCAAAAGCATGGTCCCCCTCAAAGTGTCCTGGCGTACCAGTGCCTGTGTCATTGCAGCAAGGCCCAGCTACCTCTGGTCTGCAGATGCCTGATGTCCCCAGAGCTCATTGCCATGCACCAAAGAGAAGCACAGACACTTTGCTCAGCAAATCCTCCCCAGCAAGGAAGAACTACTTGTTGCAGTTAATGTGTTTGCAAGCTTTGCAAACTGTTGAAGGATGACTGACGGCACCACTGCAACTTGAGAGTCATATCCGACACAGATAGCGTATTCACACAGATATTGGATATCTGTATTCCATACAAATATGAGGAAGACATCTTTATTTTGAGGATGATGGAGTGCTGGAAAAGGCTGCCCAGAGAGGTTGTGCAGTTTCCTTTTCTGGAGATATTCAAGACTCTCCTGGACATTTTCCTACGTGACCTGCTGTAAGGAACCTCCTTTAGTAGGGGGTTGGACTCGATGTTCTCCAGAGGTCCCATCTAACCCCTACAGTTCTGTAATACTGTGATTCTGTGATCCTCTGGCATTATTTCCATTATTCCCCTGCTCCTGCCTGCTCGGAAATGACCCTCACCCAGCATCTGTCACAGTCAGCCTAACACTTGATTTTCCAACACCAGGTGAAGCATCTGTGCTCTGCAGCCACACACTGCTTACCCTACTCTTGTGGTGCCAATGGCTTTTACCAGCAAAGGGCTCCTCCAGGTTTGGAAATCTCAAGGAAACCCAGCAGGTTCCCAGAATATCCACAGGCAAGAATTAAGTAAGTGACACTCACAGGAGCTGTGAAAGATGCAAACATAAAATAACCTGATCACTACAAAAACAAACTAACAGGATTCCTCAGGGGCTAATGGGCAGTAAGGAACCATTACTAAGAAATCACACTGAGAAAATAGAGTCAATAACTGTGACTGAAAACCACGGGCATACTTAGCAAAACCTGCTGTCTTTAAGAAATATTGCTGCCTCTTAGTGTGATACATCAGCTGAGCAACAGCAGAAGGGCTCACCTGTTTGGGAGGCTGAGCTTGCAGGTTCTGAATCATTACAGCCATTTCTGTGCTATGCAGGAGAGCCCAAGGTTCCAGAAAGCCTGCTCAGACCATGGGCTGGTAATACGGGTTGAAAGACAGCCTTCCAGGGAGAATTCAGAAAAGGGAGCTCAGCCAGGTGAGTCATGGTCTTGTTTTATGCCACTGGCTTTTCAAATAGACACCAAAGGAAAAAAAAAATATATATATATTGGCACTTTATTTGCTAGAAGAACAGCCTAGAAGTATTACAATTAAAAGGAGTGATTGAGCATTGACATTCAGTGTTTCCATTTTTCAACAATTTCTGTGGGGTTTTTTTCTTCTTTTTTTTTTTCCTTGTGGTCTTTGTAAAAACACCAGAATAATAGCAATTTATTAAGAACTGGCATTCAATCAAAATAGTTTCCCTTAATGTGAATGCTCTTACTGACATTGTAAAATTTATTTAGAGTTTCTGTTTTTTCTTCTGTTCATTGTTTGGATGTACCATAGGACTCCAATAAAAAAGGTTATTTATGCTAAACAGATGTACTGTGAAAAGCCAGATGCAAAAGGGATGATAACCCTAGGACAGGCCCTAGCAGATAAGCTGCCTTTGACTGTAGGTTTTCTTGCCATCTGTAGTTGTTGTAGCAACTTAAAATAGAACCATAGAATCATTAAGGTTTGGAAAAGACCTCTGAGATCACCTAGTCCAACTGTCAGCCCATCCTCACCTTGCCCACTGACCATGTTACTAAGTACTACTACCTTTTCTTGAACACCCTCAGGCACAGTGACTCTACCACCTCCCTGGTCAGCCTGTGTCATTGCCTCACCCCTCTTTCTGAGAAATGTTTCCAAATATCCAACTTGAACCTCCCCTGGCACAATTTGAGGACATTACCTCTCATCATATCACTGATAACTGAGAGATGAGGCTGACCATTGCCTTGTCATGACCTCCTTTCAGGTGGTTGTAGAGATAGATGAGGTCTCCCGTGAGCCTCCTCTTCTCCAGACTGAATAATTCCAATTCCCTCAGCCACTTCCCACTAGACCTGTGCTCCAGACCCATCACAGATTTATTGCCCTTTTCTGGACATGTTCCAGGGCCTCAATGTCTTTCTTGTAGTAAGGGGTCCATAAAACTTCCATCATTCACTCTGCTCGCAAGTACATGGAGATGCCTAAGGCAGAAGTCAAAGTCTGGCGAGTGAAGTGTCCATCAGCTCTAAAGTGCTGTGCTTTCTGAGAATCCTCATATCTCCTAATGGCTTTCTCATTTGAAAAAGAAAATAAAATGAATTTAAGACAAACCAACATGTAAAGCCTAGGATAATCTAAGAAAGTTGAAGTGCTGCCTGGATTTATCTCAAACATATCCAGCTCCAGAGCTAGTCCTTCTAGGCCAAGTGGAGTATGTCTTGCCGCTGCCTAGTGCTTGTAGATGAAGCAAATACATAATCTATTCCTATTCAGAAATGTTTACAGAAACACAGTGTGCTTACAGCAAGGTGCACTCAAACTGCGTTCCCTGGTGCCTCAGTTGGACACAGGCCCATATTACAGTGCTAAAGATCAAGTAAGAGACAAACACATGGAACCACACAGTGTCCAGAGCTGTCAGACACCTGATCCCTGTGCAGTAGGCAAAGGAGGATGCAGGATGAATGGTACAGGTGTTCTTATGTGAGGTTCATGATTTCTTCTCTCTTTTGACCACCAAGGGAGCCAGGGCCCAAAGAGTAGGTGGTCTGAATCACGCGTCACTCTTTCAGCCAAAGACATCAAAGTGGGTGAGCAGGATACAGCTGGATACTCCTACTTTCTCCTAAATATGAGCGGTGCCTCTGGCTCTCTTCCACAATTCATTCCATTGACATTGTTTGGTCTTCATCCTATAAAGCATTCATTTAACTCGGAGGGGAAGAAAAAGTCAATTAAAAGGAAAAAAAAAAAAAAAAAAAAAAAAAGCGCAACAATGAATTTTTAACATATTGTACCAAATAGAAAGCTGGACCAGGTGCAGACTCATGATTAGAATCAAGTGATGGGAAGAGGTCCAAAGCGTTCAGCTGAACTGATTGCAAAGCCCTGGCTTTCAAGACTGTATACAATAAAGCAACTCATTAATAGCTCGACTTTCACCTTCCTGGCAACAGATGAGTCATGTATTTGAGAAGGTCAGTGCCTTGGATTTTAAGAATGGAAGAGATTGGGATCACAGGCCAGACAATTTTTTTCAGCATTAAGATAGCATACGGCTAATAATTCTGTCTACCTACTGCCTTAGTAGCTTCTGCAACACCAGGTCAGAAGGGAACCACTGACCCAATGTACAGTTAAGTGTATCAGCCTCAGTTATAACAGCATTTTGGTAAGATCTGAACATACATTGCCTTTCTTATGTATCTCACTTTCCTTATCTGTGGCCAAGCTCTCCACTTCATAGAAGAGATTACATTGGAATAAAGTGATCTGTGTTTGCAAGATAGGCACTGTCTTTTCATTATCTCTAAAGCCCCAAGTCAGCAAAGTGATTAACCTTCTGAGAAATGCTCGCTCCTTTTTGTAATGCCATTTGATGTCACACTTAGAGCATCGACAAAGCAGGAGAAGTAATCATTTAAAGTATGAGGTAATTTGAACTGATTATTTGAGCAGTCCCAACAATTTTGACAGCTATTTTCAAAGCACAGGGAAGCAATTTCTTCACTGCATGATTAGACAGAGCAAGAGAACTCCACAGTTGCAAAGCTCAAAGTTTCACCATGTTTTTTGGGGTATATAATGAATGCATGTTGTACTATTTGTGTTAGCACATTGCTTGGACAGAAATGATTGATAAATCTTCTTGAAACCAATTAAGGGGGAAAAAATAGATAGGAGAGGACTATGTCAGGTCCTTCTTCTGCACAGGAAAGTAAGATGCATCCAGGGAAGCTTCCAAATAATACGCTCAATTTTCACATACCTCCTCCACCCACTCATTATGGGGTCATTGGAATGACTTTGCTAGCTTCTAATATTTCACTGGCAAGAAAGATTCCTGGGAAGTAAAGAAAGTGTCCAGGTGACAGAATTCCAGATATTCACCCTTCATATCTTCTCCTTCAAAAATTTTCGGAGAGAGAAAATGCAGATCAGCCTCCAAGCTACATCTTCTTTCCTGAGGTAGAATTGTGGTCCTTTTTCTCAATACTAGGTTTGGAAGACATCTCTGACCCCTTGGGAGAGAAAAGAAAACCACAGACTTTCCCAGAATAACCACATATACCCAAGCTTCCCTTCCCTAGAGGAGAAGAAGAGGGACTCAAAACCTCTAAGATTGTTTTAGAACTCCTATGGCACTTAGCCAGAAATTTAAAAAAGAGTTCATGTGGCCATAAATCAACTGAACTGGTCAATGTGCAGAGACAACTGACCAAAAAGACTCACCCAATGCTAGATGATTCACATTTCTGAGAAAGCCATGAAACAAAGGATTTTGCCTTAAAAAGCAATGGGTTGCTTGACTTTTCTTAGAGTCATAACATACTGCATGAACTTTTATGATTACAGAGACAAGCATAACGTATTAATGAAGAAACTACTTCCAAGTGTATGCGGGTATTTCCTTCAGTGCTGGCAAAATGACAAGTACACACCAGGTGACCAAAACCTCAACATCCTACACACATAGCCAAAAAAATTCTTGCGCAAATATTCTCAGAAACTCTTCTGTCCTCCTGAAAGATAATGACTAGAATATTTTTGCCCGTTGTATGTCCTATCCCCATGGATTTTTTATGTTGGGAAACCGTGTATCTGCCTCCTTTAAAATACAGTTCCTTTCCATGTGACTATGGAGAACATTCTTCTGAAGGCAGAAGTAATGATTCTGATTGTCTCAACTTATATTTTAATAGCAATTGACTTCCAGAGTAAGCAAAGCCATTCTGAGAAATCAGTAGTCCTGAAGACACATACACTCAAAATGGATTCACAAAAGGATGTTTTGGAATAGAATAGGTACCTTATATTATTTTTTTAGGAATAAACATAGATACCAGCAGCAAATACTAGGGAATGTCAAATATGCTTAAGAATACTGTATCTGATTGGATTCTCCATTGCTTGTAGACATGCTATGAATTGAGAAGAAAGGACTCTCATGTTGTTTCCTACATGTTCTAGTCTGCTCTTAGCTAACAAACAGCCCTCTGTGTTATCCTTGCCTCTGCTGTCCTGGGTTAGAGTCGCCAATGTTGTATTTTAAACGTTTTCGCAGGAAAATATCCTTATGCTCTCCTCTCTGTTCAGCAAGGTGGCAGGAGCAAGTTTCCAGATGACCTTCTGTAGTCTATCACTTAAAATGTCAGTAACTCACACAGTCCTGTGACTAGAGATACTCACAGAGTCTGTAAGGCACGCTGTTCTGCGGCTCATTGCATGGTAGATCCCGTGAATGGAGAATGAGGACTAAGCAGTGTAAGGTTCAGGCCCACATTGTATGACATATGGTCACAAGTTGTGTGAAAGTTGCTAAAGTATGGAGATTGCCTCTCTTTTCTAGCAGACACATCCTAATTTATGGCAATGGAAATGCCTTTGAAGATGCTATTACTGGTGCTTTCTGGGTTCTGTCTTTTCTACAAAACAAAAATTGAAGATACCCACCTATGAAATCTGTATTCTCCACTGGGTCATCACAGCATCAGTGAAGCAACCCTGAGCATGATTTTTGGCTGTTGGGTCATGTCATTACATACAACTTCTATGCCTTCTGGGAGTAAAAACTGATTAGTTCATAGATTGATGGCTAGCAGATTGACAGTTAGTGGGCTTAATGCAATAGTGATGCAGGATTTTGTGAGATTACTTGAATGCCTCTACTTGTTTTAAAAATCCTATTCGACTTCTGGTTACACTGCTTAGTGAGGCAGCAATGCAAAAGCATAGGTAAGAAGCAAGGTATTTTACAAAACCACAAGACAAAATCTGGAGTGTCACAGATCAGATTAAGCAGAATTATGCGGAGTTATAGGAGATGGCCCATGTGTATCTGATGCCACTTAGTGTCCAGGAAAGAGATCATGCAAGGTAGTTTTCCAACATAGCATAGCACTGGGAGTAAGTTACCCAACATAGCCCTTCTAGTTTAATACTCTAAAATTCCTTCAAGCTTCATATAGGGCGTAGGGCAGAAATCTTAAACTTTGCAAAGAAGATTCATTCTGTACTGGTTACTACAATAGATAAACACTTCAGAGTGTTTTTATTTTTAAAGTTGCCCTCTGTCTTCCTGAAAGTAAGAAATTTGCAAGAATCAACAAGTCAGAGAAGGCATCTCTTGCTTTGTGAACAATGCACTTACTCTGCATTACAAGGTTTCACTAGTGCTTTTTAACTACTGGGTGCTTTCTAAATTGGAGACCAAACACACTGGTCAGCAAAATGAAAAGACAGAGCTTCAGGCAGTATTCAGTTCATAAGTACCTGCCAATTTGTTTTGCAGTTGCACTGTTATTTAAAAATGACAATGCTGAATTAAAAGTTTCAGTTGGGTACGGAACTTTGCAGCTCCATAGCAGATCTGCCAGGGCTCTCTATCTGCCAGCCCATAAAACATCCTGCGATCAAGCGAGCCAATATAAATTAACTGGGTTTGTGGTCAAGTGGCATTCACAGCTGAATTATGTGTAGAAATCCTGAGAAGGAACAGCAGCAATATCCTTTATACCTGTAAAGTATACTGAAAATAAAGAAATAAATACTCAGGAAAAAAAAAAAATAGGACAAATACACTTACTGTTCTCAAGTTCTTTTTTATGAGGTTGAGCAATATTTATTTGAAAACTGTAAAACCACAAGTACTTGGCATCTGCCCTCTTTGATCACAGCATAGTTTAATGTAGGACAGGGGCATCATTTAGCTGCTTTTAGCAAAGTTAAAATTGGCCCTTTGAATCATTACATTTTTCTCTCAAACCCATCTGCACATGGATGTGCTGAGCCACCACTGTATTTTTAAATGAATATGTATACACCTCCTCATGTTTTCTTCCTTGGCTTTCCAATTTTGTGAAGAGACAGCTGAAGTCAGTTGATCAATCACTGGCAAAAATGGCTGAAAAGTCATCAGCACACATGGCCACAGATGTTGCTTTCTTTGCCTTAGCTTGCAAAACTATCCAGTTGTCATCCAGCTTCCAGACAGGTAATGAAGATCGATTAACACTGTTTTAATAGATTGAGATCATCATTTCAACAGAGCTTGTGGAGAATCATCATTATTTTATTAGGCCAAACCAGGCATCATTGCAGTTTTCCACTGAGAAAAGAAAATGATCTTGGCTTCAGAAGCAGTTTTTCCTCACTAAAGGCTAAACCAAAACAAACCAAGACAGTTCTTCAGGATCTGTCCAGAGATGATTTACTCTTAAGACAGACAACTTGTTCTAATGACTTTCATCACAAAACAGTGTTTTCATATTCATCCATCTGCTACTTCTGCTTCCCTGTATCAGGTTGGCCAGTATGCATGGCTATAAACTGTGAAGTGGCCTGGTCCTCTGTACAAAGAGAAAGCTGTGTTAATGACCTAGGGACAGGTGATTACTTGACTTGCAGCCATTTGGTGCTTTTCCTCTTAAAAATTATCCTGAGCCATGGGTGATCTCAGGTGTCAGCAGCTCTTCCAAACTGTGTCTGCTTTCAGTGGGGTAAAGGACATGGCCAGAGTGTATTTGTATTTCAGTGAGAACCAGCTCCTGAATGGTTCTGTTCTCAAGAAATTCACTTCATCTAAAAACTGACCTTCATCAAACAAATATCATTTCATATACGTATTTTTCTTTGTCAGCAAAGCTAAGTTTTTAACAGAAATGTTTCCATTTCAAGACAAATATTCCATACCCTGATGGTTGTGGTACTGCGTTTGGCATGTGGAGTCCTAAATTCAAGTCACTCAGACTGAAGCACAGTAAAGGTTTGGAACAAAAAAAAATTTCAGGCAAAGCAGGGACTTGAAACCAGATTTCTTGTATGCCAAGCCAGTATCTCAATCATCAGGCTTTGAATTATAGAGGTCTTGTCCATGTGCCAGCCAGCCCTGAAAGCAACTGTGGGAGGAAACTTTCAGACCAGTTCTAATCACTGTAGTAGGAAGCAAAATGACACTGGATTTTATTATATCTGGCTCTACAACCTTGGCTCCTTATGAGTTATCCTAATACAAGCTTCTTCAGTTGAGGGCCTGAATCATGTAACTAATTTCTCCCCTCCCATCCTGATGGACAGGAGGAATATTAGTATCATTTTTGCTTGCCTCATAACAGGAAAAACTTTTTTAAAGGAGCAATCAGGCACTGGAATGGTCTTCCTAGGGAAGTGGTGGAATCACTTTCCCTGGTGGTGTTTGAAGAACGTGTAGATGTGTTACTAAGGAACATGTTTTAGTGGGCAACATTGGGGGTAGGTGGACAGTTGGACTAGATGATCTTAGAGGTCTTTTCCAACCTTAATGATTCTATGACTCTACATTCAGTGCATGACTTCTATGAAATTAACTTGGACTACCCAGTGGAACAAAGATTTTTGTTGTTGTTAAAGCTGGGTGCCCACGTCAGTGAAATTCAGTAATGTAAGAACTGTTTCCATATATTGGAAATTTACTAGTTTCAAATATTCCAAAAACACTAGAAACATTCCAGTACTACAGAAACACCTAGTATTGGAAAAATACAGACGTCAGAAACAGCAAAAATTGACCTATTATAGACATATGCCCATGGTTTCCATGTTTGTGTTCTCTAGCAGAACATGGATCCTATATGGCGTGAAAAGAAAATCACTGTTTCTGGGTGACTTATTTCTTAGAATGTTTCCATCCTAAATCTCTTCACCCTTCTCAATGAAGAAGAGTGTCACTCAAACTTATTACCTTTAACTGCACTGCAACAGTCCCGTGCACGTAATCTTGGAATAGAGGAGATAATGAAAGTCATGCACCCAATGTCTTGCACAAGATTTCCAGGTCAGTTTAGCTTAATGCAAGTTATATATATATATATATATGTACATATATATGTATTAAATTTTTTTTTTCCTGTAATAGTGATTCCTGCTCATAAGAATAAATATTTATCTCCTGAGAGATATTTTGTATCACTGGATAAACTGGAAATGCCCATTTGCCATCTAAGAAAAAACAGCATTAGGTGTGCTATTAGGTTTGTTATCCTCTTTGTTATGTTGAGTGGGACAGATGGACCAATTCTTTGCATAACGGAGTGTCACTACTCATTTATTCATGCAACCCCTTCTAGTGGGAGTAGCTGAAGTCTTGAAGCAGCCCCTCCATAGCAGCACTGAGGGGCTTTGACTCATCCCAGTGAGATACAGGACACCTACCAGAACTGACTTTGTACTTGTTTGCTGCAGGCTCCCTGTATGATGGGTAAAAGAAAGGGATATGGACAATGCTGTGTGCAGTACACTAACAGCTTCTTTTATCTGTTGATTCTACAAGACGGCTCATCAGAACTTCTCAGTCCCACCTACAGTCTTATTAAAACTGCATCAGAGTAGCCAAACGATGTCACTTTTGAGGTAAAAATGAAGTCCCTGGAGCTTCAAACTTATCTGGACACAAAAGAAAGAGTTACCCCTTTTGCTGAACCAGTGTGACCCTCCTCCCTTTAAGCCCTAGCCCTCCTTGAATCCCTGCACATAGAATCCTTGAATCATAGAATATCCCAAGCTTGAAGGAACCCACAAGGATCATTAAGTCCAAATCATGGCTCCCCACAGGACTACCTAATACTCAAACCACATTTTTGAGAGTACTGTCCAAACACTTCTTGAATTTCAGCAGGCTTGGTGCTGTGACCACTTCTCTTGGGAGCCCATTTGTAAACTTGGGAAATGGAGATGATCATCAAGACTAGCTGGACGTATCATTATTTCCATAGAATCACTGCCAGCCAGTTGATAATACGTACCCAAAGTTACCTCCGGGATTCTGAAAATGTCTATCCTTCTCCTGAGATTGTGAACAGGCCTTCTTCTCATTGCTGAAAGGTTCATAAATTGGCTGGCCTCTTCTCACATACAACAGGGCTGTTATGGCCATTCCCAATTGCCCCTCCAAACCTGTGCTACCAGCCATACTCTTAATGACAGAAGAATGTACCAATACTACCTGATGGCTTCAGACAGCCCAAAGGCTGGGTTTGGTCTACATAGTTCTATGTCGATGTTAGGAGACATTACGGTGGTGTTTTTTCTTCACTTGCCAATCTTTTTAATTTTAAAGGTTAGATGCCTTCCCGTATTCTGTAGCACTAAGTCCCACATACCGTACTGCCACCATGAGAAGATATCCAGAGGCATGTCCAAAATGTCAGCAGGCAGCACAGACAAACAATCAAACAAAATATTTTCTCTCCCACGCTTGGCTCTTATGCCTTCAGAGGCAGCTTCCAGGCCACCCACAGATTCAGGTTCTTTCGCCTTTCCCTTTCATCCTGCCTGCCCCTTTCATCATGTCTGTCTCTCTTGTCACTCCTGTTCCTGCTTTTTTTTCTCAGTCCTTTGCAGGAAATACCTAACAAATTTCTGACTGAGCTGGAGAGTTGTATAGAGCTGATCACCAACTGGCAGGTACTAAAGGGAGACAGCTGCAATTCAAAGGAACAGTAAGTCCATTAACAAAGGCTGGAGTATCCTTGTACAGTGATTGTAACATTTAAGCTTATCCCAAAATTCACAACATACCTGGTCTGCTTTTACAATGAGCAGCTCTCGTGTCAGAATAAAAATTGCACCACAAATTGAAAGGATGGCCAGCAGCCAAGTGAGAATATACTTAACACTTCTCTATTAACAGCAAGGGCAGCAAAGCTATAAAGGAGTTATTGCTAGTTCACTAAGTTTACAGCACAGAAAAAGTTGCCGCTTTTCTGCTGTTAAAGAAAAGCCTTTGAACAAAGGAAGGAGACAGAGTGATGCATGGATTTTCCCAAGTTGGCAGTACCACGGAGGTAAGGCACTAGGTCAGGGTCCAGTCTGGATCAAGGCATCCCACATGGTCCCTCAGAGAACATCCACTCTCCTAGGCAGGGAGAAAGACAGACATCAGAAGAAACACAACAACACTGCACTGCAGGGGAGGCAAGGAAGGTAGCCAGTGGTCTGAGTGGGAAGAAAACCAAGGAAAGTCAGCTGCCTC